AATCTCGGCTTTTTGTATCTTGCAAAGATTTTCCCAAGGCCATAGAAGCTAAGACTATAAATTGTTTCATTTTAACTTTTTTCTCACGGCATGTATTCGAAACATACCATCTTCATATTCACTTCAATTTATCTATCGATCTAGTGCGAGAAATATGAGGCAGTGGGGATCTACTGCTCCTGTAAGTACAGCAAATCCTCTGGTGAATTGACCTTACAGGTGAGCTTCTGAATATGTTTTGAACAGTGTTTTGCTTTTCTTATCGTTTTCACTCGTGTCTGGTCCAGCCTGTCGACTCCCACTATGCTCCTTAAGTTAGAATCCAACGCATAGGCAGCAGAACTTTTGAATAATGATTGCATAGACTATTATAATATGGTGAACAGACACTGAAAAGTGGCCTCAGCGGTCCAAGTTTGTATTCATGGCTGATAGACCTGTTACCTCTCGAACTTACAAGCCCACCTTATATGCAGTGAAGTAAATGTGCTTGTTGATATAAATAGCTCTGTTTGAACGTTGGAACAACATGGAAACGGAAGGTCGCTTTATTGTACATCGAGCGATCTACGTACTCACAAAAATGGAGAAAATTGATAGTTAGGAAATTTGATCTAGAATTTGGACAACATAATACAAATTTTACTTTATAAATATGTGACTGTATATAATTCGCTACTCACTTGCAAGTATAATTGGAACCCTTACTGTATTGGTACACCTTGTAATTTTTTTTCAGGCCGCCCTTCGTAATGAGTACATGTACTCGGTGTTGCAACAAAAAAAGTACTTTAACTTTGCTATACCACGAGAACAACATTTTATAGTAGCGTTGAAGAAGGCTTTAGTCCGCTTTGGACACGGAGCCACCTGCCCTGAGAAGCACCTGTGTACTGAAAATCTTCCTGCAGCTAGTCAGATGAGAAATCTGTATTTGATATCAGTGATGGTTGACATCATCGATGCGGAGATAGCAGAAAGGATAACATGACTGACAATTGCTTGCAGCTCAGATGGCCAACGTATTTTCCTTACAAGTTTTATACTTGATATTGATAAGTTCGCAATCAGACACCTTCTTTCTGAAAGTGAAGCATGGTGAGTATTTTGTACAAGACATTGAATCGATTGACCGTGGCCACTCCTATACAATTAACAGGTATCTTCTGGGTCGTCTGTTGGTATAGGAGTCACCCGGAATGGATTCCAGAACGCGAAGGAAGAGAGATCGGTCGTGTCAGACTGAACGGAACGGAATCCATGTACAGCTAAGTAGATCGCCGGCTGGTCTCCGGTCATCTGGCAGGGTGCCCCCCTGCAGGTGAGACAGCACCCTTTCCCTCTGGCTTCTGTGACCACTGACGGACGAGATGTCTGCTTCCCCTTCTCGGCTCCTCACTGTCTTTTCTCTAATGACGATTTTCGTTGCAGAAATAAACTTATCAACTCCATGTACACCTGACTTGGAACTCAGGTTACTGAAAACCTCAAGTGCCTGATTCTGCAAAAACGCCAAGTTTCATGCCGTTTGATGCAGGTCGGTGGTACTACTGGAAGAACATAAAATGGTGGGGTTATTACAGCATACTTTGATTAAGGCCAACAATATCTCTTGCTTAGGAGGTACACCCTTTTCCCATAGTATTGGAAGTACAACAAGGACCTTGTACCTGATCACCCGTTGTGGTTTGTACACGAGATGGTGACAAACGTCGGTACGTAGTCCCCAGTTTTCCGTGTCCCTTGGACGACCGGATGCAAAAGTGCTCTGACCTTGATGTTCTTTTCGCCGAAAATGTATGCCGCCATTAGATTTTTCTGGCTAATAATCGTTATGAACCTCAACATCAGGCTCTTACTGGATGTGTTCCACTTTAGGCAACAGGGAAGTTCCTAAGAAACCATGGATCATAAATTTAGATATGAAGACACAAATCTTTTTTGTATGGTTAAATGAAATAAAAAAAATTAAAATGCTCCTCGTTTTTACGTTTTCTCCTCACAAATATAGGAGTGAACACTACTAGTACCTTATGTGGAACAGTCCGTGCACAAATGCAATTCAAGCAGTCAATGTTGCTTTCCTTATCTTTCTCTTTTTTATCGGATGCTGATCTCCATATTCGATCACTCGATCTCAAAGGAGGTGAAGACTTACGTTGGTAGATGTTCTGTACCTGCTATTAGAGAGAGAGATGTCGAAACGTTATGCAGAAAAGACCTTGATTAACAAAAGGGCTTGGCAACGTATCAAGCATGGGCATGGCATACAAGCGAAGCATAAGGCTACAACCGACGAAGGGCAGGAGGATACAGCTGCACAGCGGATATAGCATGATATATGAACTGATGGCACTTCGACAGTCTTCATCCAGTTGCAAGTCCAGTGCTTTGGTTGCACAAGACGCTCGAGACCGAATTCTCGGCATATGGACTGAGTTGACCAGACCTTGAACCTCATTATATGTGATACAAATGTCGCATGTGCTGGAAGTCAGTATTTACCTTGAAGGTATCTTTAAGAAGAAGACATCGAAACGTGTGAACCTGTGCGAAAGGAAATGTTTGCTTCGTTGCTGTGGTATATTTTCGTTTTTGGAGGTGTTGCGTGAACGCTCCACTGTGAGGGCATCAACTCTTTGAGCTGTGGTTTTCCTGGCATTCCTTTCCACTTCACCTAAGCTGTTTCCCAGCATGGGACAGAAAGCATGCTGGACTAACACGTCAGAGAAGTCGACTGTAATCTTTCGGTATGGGTAAAGTTTGCCAGAAGAGACCCAACGAATCGTCTTTCTCCTTTGTTCCGAACGCATAGGCTTCTTAGACGACCCGAAGTTTTCAACATATCCTTTTTGCTATGTTACTTGGTGCGATCCTTGATATTTACAACGTTGAAATTTGCATCTGAAATTTGCCTTTTAGATCTGTGGATCTGAAAGGCGTCACACCTTTCACATACGAAAAGCAGTCGGATTCGCACTTCTAGTGTGATGGGAACTAGTAGAAAGTAGAACTATTTTCGCACATATTGCCCAGAGAAAAATGGAACACTGCAATTGAATATTCGAAAGTTTCGCCTTCTTTGTTCCTACATAGGATTCGAGAGCCAGCTTTCCGCCGAAAGATCCTCGGAGTCATTTTTGGGGATGGTTGATATTAATTTTGTTGACTGCGTGTGTAGCGAGATTAAGAAATATTAATTCCTCGATTCTCACACACAAACACTGCGTAGCTTCAGAGGCACATCTTTCTCCGACATGCTGTCCATCAGATCGGATCAAAGAAATGCGAATGCTGAGCGAATGAGTACCTCGGTTTAAGACCAAATCAAGAAGCTGTTGATCGCCATCCTTCGCGCTGTATTATTTGGTCCTTCGTAGCTGCATTGCAGTAGGGGTGAGCTTTGGCCATCAGTTATGAAATCGATGATAGATGCTCAGTCTCACGCTTTGAGCAACGCAGTATCGCTCGGTCATACTGTGAAATCATTGTACGCTTCAGCAGAAGCAGATTCGCTGTTATGGCGAATTTCTCAGATGCCTCGGAAGGCAAAAAGATACCTGGTGTGTTGACTGCGCAATAATTTTTTATATATACTCGGAAGGCCACATTTGGAGCTACCCCAGGAGAACCCAAGGATGACGAGAATCGGAACCAAGATGGCGCATAGAAATTTTGACAGCGCATGAGGTGATCTGGCAGGTCTGAAGGAGTCCGAGCGGTCCAGGACAAGTGTACCATACTCAGATCAGGCCGGGAGTCGTAATATCTCCAGGCCCAGAACATTCTCGTGCCGACTTCGGACTTCCATCGTTGCGACAAGCATGCGTTGTCAAGCGTTTTGCAGATCAAATGCTTTTCTTTTGTTTTGATGTCTGGGCAAATCAGCCTCCCTCACCTCGCGACTGCTGCCTGCTTCCCTGCTCGTTTGGCAACTGCCTGACACCAAGTGTCAGGTGGAATGTTCACAATCCTTTGAGCCGAAATGGAAGTGCCCAGCACAGACCACAGACCTCGAGGCGGTAGAGTGCTTGAGACCAACCTTCTGCATGGGAACTGGCATTTTACGGGCAGAGAAAGCACGCGAGATTCTTTCAGTCTTTCGAGTCCTCTGCTCCAACCTGCAAGCAACTCGTGGTCGACTCTATGTGGCTCCGAAACTGATAAAATCTGGCGTCTTCGGACTGACCACGTCTCCGATTGATTTTGAAACGTAATTCAGATTCTCGAGACAGTCGTCGAGTCTCGCACAGATTCAGTACGCATAATTGTGTTGACACTTCGCTACAATGATCGCGAACTTCGCGATATTTTGCCCTTCATTTTTCTGTGGGCACGCAACTTCTATTCTCCATCTGTAGAGTCAGACCGATTGTGGACGACTTAATTTGTTTACTGCAGGGAAACAGGGTGTAAATAATCTACGGGCGGCCAGTGCGCATTTGAAATAAAGAGTACTTATGATATATATTGTCCACATGCGGAGATGGACTGAGACCAGACTTTCGAGGGCCGAGTACCTTGGTTTTTCACAGGTTACGGGTTGGAGCCATGAGATGAAGAAATCTGACCATAAGCATTCTCCTGCCACACTTCGACCGTGTCATGTTCATGGGCAACATGTTCGGCTTACAACTTAGAAGAAGAAAAGGATGATACGTCGGAAGTGAGGTCGAATTTTGGAGGGATAGATGGGCATTTAGTTGAGAGAAGATGGTTGTATATATGTTAGGAATCGAGAGTATAAACAGTGTTATAGACAAACCAGAAGCCCGTACCCTCAGCCCACGACCCACGGCGAGTGGTGCAGAACGAGTGAATTACGAGATACTCTGGGGTTTGTGAAAAGTCGGTCCTCGTTCGTGATCATCGGGCTCGTAAAGTCCTGCTTACCAGACGTTTTTATCGCAGGTAACATCACAATGAAGGCGTCTGGTGGTGGTGGGCTTCGGTCTAACCATCCGCAAGTGTAAGATCTCAAGACTGTTATCCGGGTCTCTGGGCCAGCAAATGTCACATAGAAAAAGTATTGCTTAGATGGTACAACACGAGGATTGGTGACAGCATCATACGCAGATACTTAACAGATTGGCATTCATCTCTGCCAGTATTCTCGTGAGAATTCCCACCCTCCTTCCAAGCTCAGTCCTCTCCTGAACGTGTGAGGCAGCTGTGCAAAGCTTCAAATTTTGTTCCCTGGTACAACAAATTCCATAATATTGTCCAGTGGAGACGGAACGCTACGTATGACTACTGTACACTACATTGTGTTCTGTTCTCTGCATCGCCTACAATGCTGTAGTTCCAAATTTGAGCGGCAGTATCCTAAAATACGCCAAAGATATGATGAAAAGTGATGACGCACATGTAATCGCGGGCGAAAACAACAAGAGCTTGATACTGAAGTTTGATAACGTCAATAGCTTCGGAAGATCCATATCGGATCTGATCTAAGCAGTCTAGTTAGAAGCCTTACGAGACTCTGTCGTTGGAACCGAGACTGCAGGAGTTGCAGACCTTGGCTGTCTTGATGAGAAGTGAAGGCAGCTCTCATGAAGTTAACTCCCACATTCGATGATGTTGAGTTTGCTCCCGTCCTCGCCACCTCAAATCAGGTCGGCATTCTGGCAGGTTGGATATCGATGGTGTTTGCATATAAACCAGCTGCCTTTAGAAGATTTCACGCAGCTGAGGGTGCCTGAGCTTCTTTCGACTTGGGCGTGGAGGTGGGAACGGAACTGTCGGGCTTAATGACAACACCCTTCAAGTCTAGCAGGCCTCTGTCTTTCAGTTTCGGCTCGAACCGCAGCTTGTCTGTACACTTACGCTCTTCGAAAGCTGCCATCAATGTCTTCTCTATCCTCCGCGCAACATTCTTTAAAACAGCTGCTTTGGGTGGACCTGGGGCAGCTTCTTCAAGTAACCGCATCTCTTCATCTGTGTGAACCATAAAAAATCAAACTCTTTAAAGATACCTTCCAAGTATAAGACTACGTCTTGATCCTTTCTAGTGCAACCATATCATAATCGATCAGGTTATAGAAAAGAGTGGGTTTCTGACGTGATGAAAATATACCAGTCAATCATGTGCTCACACTACTGAATCCGTTCTACACCATAGCCCATAAGTTCTCAGCACATCTGGCAGTAGGAAAGAAAAGTCTGATGACTGTGCTCCTCGGGTTCGATATACGTGATTGTGATAAACAAATTCTATCTCGACTCGTTGAACACAGGAGAAGGAGAAGGAAGACACAGTGATGATTCAGAATTGAAGTTGTTGATGGGGTCGGGTTATGAAGGTTCGAAACTTTACCAGTCATAAAAACCTTGCAGTCCAACGGGTTTTCCCATCTATTTTGCATCTCTCCATTATCGTTTCCAGGTGGAGGAGAGCCATTGTCAGCGATCCACTGGTCACGAATTCCCTCAAGAAGGGCTCGACTGGGTCTCGACAGATGTTGTACTTTGACGTAGAAGCATTTTGATGGAAACCTAGCGAAATGTAATCGCATGCTCTGGTATACCTGTTATCACGGTCAAAATGAGCCCAAACCATCCACTGCGTTGCTGCGGTACATTTACTTCAGTTTCCTTTGTGGTGTACAGGATTCAGCGTCAGCACTCACCTGCCTCGTGACGCCGACGTACTGTAGCGTCTTTGCATCATCGAAAATAGCATAAACACTAGCCTTAATGTCAGGTTTAGTGATGTCCGCAATTAGCCCCTCTTCGGTGAGATAGGGAGTGTATTCCATGCTGTCCAGTTTCTCGACTAAACCAGCTCCAGCTTGTTGCCTGCGTTGCTCAGCTTGTTTCTTGAAGTATTCCTCTTGTGCCTGCGACGGGAAATGAGGAAAACAACAATTTAGAAGACACCTCGTCACGATATGAATGCGTTGCTTGGTGTCATTAACTGAATGAACCAGAAAAATCCTACAAGGCCTGTCATCACCTACCAGCGCGGTGGCTTGTCGAGTCGCAGCTGCATGCTCATCAGCTGCAGCAAGTTTCTGCTTCCATTTTGGCTCTGGGAAAGACGAAAAAACAAGAGCAGTTCACAAATTGGGAAGCTTGTCATAGACACTGCCTTCGAGAATAAATTTTCTCCCTGTCACCGAATCAAATCACGAGCTACTTGCAGTTCATAAAAGAATCATCTCCACATTTTTTATAAAAGGAGTCGGTCAAACAATGAAGTGTCAGGAGCAAGCAGTCAGCTGTAATACGTTTCTTCAAGCTGATGGTATCGAACAAAGTATGCCAGATAAATGAGCAGCAAGTTTAGACCATGGCTTGTTGCAAAAGCGCTTAAATTACCAAATAGATTCTATCCCTTCAGTTGCGATCACAGTCAGGGGGAAAGAAAATCCCAACGATTCATGTGCTACGGTTGGTTCTCTCTTAGCGAAACAGAGTAAGAAGATGCTGGTGGGATATTGGAAGGACAAGTTTCGGCCATCATTGCATCACAAATTCACAATATCAGCATGTAGCAGAGTGTATCCAGAACAGTCTACCGCCGAACTCCAGGAGGCAGATGGCCAGAACAATTCATAGAAGTCAGTCCGTAGAAAACATGAGCAGTCTGCTGCTTAACTGCATATGAACTGACAACCAACCAGCAAAAAGACTCACAAAGTTGCGTTCGAGAGAAACCTGCTGATGATGCCACAGCTGCGCCCACCGGCGATTGCCGCTGGCAGAAAGCCACATTGCTTCTCTTTGACCGTAGCTCATCTCTGCACACCACAAAAAACGACGCACGCCCGCAACCAAGAATGTGAAACCACAATCTGCGGCCGCAATGGTCCGAGCTGAACTGAACCAGCGATCGATTCCATGTACGAGAGCAATCGGTGAACGCAACGACTGAGATCACATCACACAGCTCACCCGAACAAGGAGGGCCTGGGCAGAAGAAACGAAGACGAAGCAGACGAGGTGGAGAGCACGAGGCTCTGCAAAGCGCGAGCCATTGTCGCGGCCGTGCGAGAGGAATGGCAAAAGTGACGAAGTGCGACGAGAGGGGCTCTTGCTCGACTCTCGAGCGCCGCCGTGCCCACTTGGCACGACGGCATCGTGGATTCTGGGCACTGGAAATCCTTATCTGGTGAAATCTGACGTGGCACTCGCCAACTGGACCAAATGCCGACGAGGCAATTCTCGCAGGCACCCGCGGGTTGTGGGTTCCCCGACCCATTCTCGAGCCAGACGGTGGATTATACCAACAGAATTCACTTCCCCAAGGTCTTATGTTCCGACAGTTGCAGATACATTTTGTCCACCAGCTACCCAATTCATCTCTCAACATTCTGGCATCTCTCAAAAATTTGGATTTCTTTTTAAAAAACCTTATTATTATCATGTGTGAAACAGCGGTATACCTGTAAACATTACAACAATGTTTTGGAAATAAATGTGATTGGTAGGTCTTATAAAAAATATAATTTCTTACAGTTGATATGTCTACACAATGGATTGTATTTATTTATTAATTTAGAATTACCACTTGATACATTCCATTGTCTAACATTCAAGACTCATTGAATGTTGTATAGAATGTACATATTGATTTATAACAAATGTGAGATTCTTTTCATCATGTGTTGCAAGGTGTTATGATTGACGTCTTTACATGTCACTCGTGATTTCATGATGTTCTGTGATTTACTTATAGGTTATTACATGCTTTGTGTTGCAAGGTGTTATGATTGACGTCTATACATGTCACTCGTGATTTCGTAAGTTTATGTGATTTACTCATAGGTTATCACAGGCTTTTTGGCTCATTTACATTGTGTTCAAAATTTATACACATTAGCCTTCACACAAATCCGTGCTTTTCCATATAATTTTATATTTCTTTTTTTAGATAAAAATCAAGAACCTGTATAGTTTTCAGGTTTGACTGACATCAATGTTCACATGCAGTCCCTAGTATTATGTTGATTAAAACAATCGTCTGGTTTCTATAAAATTTTAGTTGAGAGATCTATAAATAAATATTCAAATAAGGTATCTATCAGAATGCATTTCAATCACCAAAATCTACTTAGATTTCAAAATTTGAGATATATAAAAAAATATAGAATATACGTTCGTATCTATCACAATTATATTCAGTGAAAGGTAATCAATCCAGATTCAAATTTCAATAAATAATTTTTGATTTCGGAATTTTAAAACTGTATATTTCACTTAGCATTTTTGGCATACAAAAGATACTCAACGTACTCAAGTTAAATATGAATTCAAATATTAGACATTATATACATGAGTGAGACAATCCATACTTTGAACATAATCTTTGACTGTATCCACATAACATACTTAGTGGAACTTCGAACTTGAGCTTGGTTGCGTGGACAAACTTTCCTTGAATGCATTCCACGTCAAAGTTTTGGATGGATTGAATATTACAAGAACTAAATGTTAACCTTGGGGCAAAAACTAGTCACACTCTCTATTTCCATCGAATCCAAGCACATCTAATGAGTAATTCACATTCACATAGGCAGAGATAGGTCTCCACTTACGGGATCCCCGACTGGCAATTGCGACTTTACAGATTAAATTCTTGAGGTCCCGTATAAATTCTTGATTTTTATGGCTCGGACTGTAGGGTTTAAAGTCATGTGTTGGGAATAGGCCAACTTAAAAATTGTGAGTCTGACTAGACAGACGGAATATAAGATGTTAGAAATACGACCCCCTTCAAACAAACGTACGTGAATCATGATAGTCTCCCTACATTTAGCTTAAAGTACAAGCCTCTTCGGTTTCGCACTCTGCTCTGCGAAGAAAAACCTGCAGTGATGTGTGAGCGATCCACTGAGATGAATATACCAAAATATCCGCCTCTTCCTGAAACAAAATACGGTTTCTGCTAGCACAAAATTACCCATTCACTTTTACTGTGCTAACGAATGATTTAGTTGTGTACCCAAGACTGACATTCAGGCTTAGCACATATCGTAATCTCCTTCCGTAAAACATAATGTTCTACAGTCTGATCACCGCATACAACTTTCGCCGTGTCTATGTGCACTCCTTACATAAGATGTTCAATGACGACCTTACTTCAAGTTATAACTTATTAAAACGTGACTCCGTACACCGCGCTGAAGAGCTGATACATTCCCACGAAAAATTTCTAGAGACCAGTGAACAATGATGGTGCACAACTGCGTCAAGACGAATGAAGCTGAAAAGCTGGGGTCAGTACTTGCGCAAATGGACCTGAGTAACTTTATATGAGCGTTCACACTTTTAGACTAAGATTTCTCATCGGCGTTGTTTTCTTGCTGACTAAGACCACCATGCAAAGCCAGCATTCCATTCCTATACTTCCTCCTCATGGTCCTATATTGGTTCAATATCATCCTGAATACTTGCGATGCATCATGGAACATCGATGCTTGTCCGAACTCAGCCTTCATGTTTGTCAATATTTGCACACATGCTGACTCCTCAAAGCTGGAATGTTGCAGAAGGTAGATGGGGTCTAAGTATCTAGAATCTAGGAAGCGCTCACTACTGTTGGGTACGTGCCTTAAATAGTCCATGCCTACAACATCACCTTCGTCTTTCGAACTCTTAAAATAAGACTGAGCTAAGCTGAAAGCTTCTGAAAAATTGATCCTTTCATCAACCATGGTGATAAGACTTTGAAAATATGATAGTGAAGATTGACTACATGAATCACAACCTAGGGGATCGAGAGCTCCGCACCTTGGAACTAAATTCTTGCCGCAGGCCTTCTCGTTTTGCCTAACGTTAACTGGTTTCTCAATACAAGAATCCGTCAAGGCCTCGGCTGCTATCATGCATGCTTTTCTGAACCGAATGTCATTTTCACCGAGGTTTCTAATCGCAACGTGCAGCAATGCCTCACTCCAGTCCTCGTCCTTGATAATTTTTGAATCTGATCCGTGTACGCTTCCCCACCTTTGAAGTATCCAAAGCCTAAGAGCAATATGAACCATTCCTTCCCATCTGCACGGGGTCAATAAGAGTCAATCTTAGGGATCCATATTGCTAATTTCATATGCGATTCTAATACGAAGTCAAAAGAACGATGTTGTTGTAATATAAACTTCTGTCTGCATGCTCAAGGCTGCTTGCTTCGCTGGAAAGAGCATGCTCCGCACGGAAAGTCATGACCATGTTTTCTGAACTCATTCTCCTCCGTTCAATCGCCAGATGTAAATAAAGTATACAGTGTAAAAGTTTTACAAACAATCAATGATATCAAAACAAACTTACTTCAAAGGTCAGTCACTAAGTTTTATGGGGCCTTCCAAATTCGCCCGGTTCTCTGATACAAAAAATTTTGAATACTATATTTGCAAAATTTACAGATATGCTACCACTAGGTTCATAGTGTGGCAAGAACAATATTGGAAAGACTTCCAATGTGAGCTCAGTTCAAAAAACCGGAGCAAGAGATGACAACTTCTGGGTAGAACTCGTGAAAGTATCGTAGAGACTTTTACACACTAAGAGAGAAAATAGGAACTATAATGTAGTCTCAGACAAGGCTTTGGATGGTCTGACTCACTCAAATGGGGGCTCCACCTCCACACCAAATGTCAAATGAACTGATATGCCGTTGTCGATACAGTCTGTTTGAAGCTCACATTGGTCTTCAAGAGAGTCGGAGCAGGGGGGCGTTATCTTCTGCTTCTTCTTCTTTCTTCCAGAAATAGGGAAGGCAGAGTTGCACAGATTAGCAACATCTGATTTTGAAGTTTCATCTAATCCAAGACAAGGATCTGTGGAATATCTGAACCCATCCACACCTCCTGATTCCTCCTCAAACTTGTCATCACAAAATGCCTTATGAGGAAAACCTCGTGGTATGTAAAGCACATTTCCTTCCTCCAAAGTAACTGCATTAGCCGGACAGGAATTCAACGCTTCCTCGTCTAAGGATCTAGATGCATACAGTCTTGGCAGGATCTTAGCAGGTGGAAATATTTTCCAAGATTTTTTACCATGTAACTGGCAAACTAGAACGCAATGATCATCAAAATGCACGGCAAGACCTTGAGCATTTGGGGGCGTAACGTATAAGTTTACTCCAACACTAGGTTGACCAAATTGTTTGGCTAATGCCTCGGACAATCTTGCAATATCCGCGCAGCGTAGCTCCAACCCTTTTATGGCCAAACTGAAACCCGCCTTTACCGCATCTAACATCGCTTTGGGATGTACATGCTTATCCACAGTACATTCTGCATCTGTTGAGAAAAAATGCACCTCTGTTTCTTCAAGTTTCATAACTTTTGAATCGTTCACTGTTTTCACTATCCTGATATCTCGCCCATATGAAAGTGGGTCTCCCACAGTGCACTCGATTTCGCGAATAGACATGAAGGAGTCCACCTCATCAGCAGAAGAAGAAGGACAAGTTGTGAACGAGTAGAGAAGATTGAAGAGCCTCTCCATATTGTTAAACCGTTTGGCGAAAGTAAGAAGACAAGAAGGCATGGCTTTCGTCACAAGTACAGGCAACCGCTCCCAGAAGTCCATGAACTTGTCAGAGCTCAAGTCAGAAATTCCAGGGGACTTCTCATCGACTATACCAGCTTTTCCAGGGTAACAGTCGTACTCCATGCCTAGAAGCACCAGACATTTTGCGAGTTCATGTCTGGATTTAGATCTCCTGTACCAGTTCCCTCTAGTTGGATCCACATTATTATAGAGTAGTTGGTCCTTTTCAAGCATAAATGACCAGTGTTGATAAAGGATACCCAAAGCTTTGAAGTAGACAAATCTAGGAACACTTTTGATACATTCGCCTGGATTAATACTGACAATAGTTCTAACACAAGAATCAACAAGCGACTCCAGCTCGTTGCCGAATACCCGTTTCGATCCTCTTTTCCGACTCTCACCATCTAAGTTATCTAGGATATCAGAGACCTGCAGTCTTTCACCTCTTTCAGCGACAGATTTATCGAACCGTTTTTCTTCTTCAAGTCCATAACTTGAGTCAGGTTTGCGATAAAGGTCTGCAAGCAAACATAATAACCGCCTGCCCAAACTGTCTTAGCATATGATGATAAAGCTGAAAAGATAACTGGAAATACATGAGACTTGTAAGATCCTCAAGCTGCAGAAATGTTAAGGTCGAAAGCTTGTAACATGAACCTTCCTGTCATAATTAAAGGTAAACATGGTTGATGATGGGGAGTACTCACATGAGGTTCTCCACAAGCGACGTATGTTTAAAACGCTCCAGACCATCGGATGTGATAAGAACATCTTCCAAGGTGTGAAAAGCTGCTGTAAGAAGGTCCAAATTTGAACTCGTGAATATCTCAACAAGAGCGCGGATGATTTCCTCCTTAGTCAAAACCTGGTGGTGTATCTTTGAAGAACTTAGAGATAACGCTCCCAGAATCTCCAGCCCAATGGTAACAACTTTCATCGATCTGCAAGGACAATACCAAAATGAATCAACCTATCTATTCTTTTATCCATGCTTGCACCACGAAGACATTATACACGGGCTCAACCCTGTGTACGTGGACATAATGTTTCCTGAACTTCTTACAGTCTGCTACGGTTTTTCGTCCGTAGCTGTTAGCTATCGAGTCTTGGAGCAATAAAGCCTCAGTTCACATGCGTCACGTAGAATATTGAAGCCCTGAACAGTGAAACATTTCTTTCAATTTTCTTCGTTAGGAGAAGGAAGAGAATAAAAACTTAAGTGTGGCATGGATGTAAGGTATGAAGATGGGAGTATGTCAGAAAATAAAAGCTTTGGAGATGAAGTGCATTAAGAATACCAGAAATGTACACTCGATACATGCAAAAGAGCTGCTTGCTTTTCTTACCAAGTTGCGTTCAGATATTTACCTTTGCGTCAACACGGATGGAATCACATCAAGAAAGCCCAGGCTGACATACTGCTTCGCGGCTATGTCCAAATGTTCCACATTAGAGAGACATTTCAGAACATACCGTAACGTTGAAATACAAGACGGATTCACTCGGAGCTTCTCAGCGGCATGGACAAGCTTCAGGCTAGACGATAGCCTTTTTCGATTTTCAGATGTCATCTCCATGTGTCAAGATTTGTCCGATGTGTAGCGGCATACACCTGCAGCTCTATGGATAGAATGCTGTACTGTGGCAAACAGAAACACCGATTTGTGCGAATAATGCGCTTCAATCTAGTTCCAGTTTTTAAAAATGTCTTCTAATAGGACGTTCTGATCCAAAGATTGTATCGGCAGGCTTGGTTCTTCCGGGCTGCAGACGTTTTGGCGATTTGCCAAGACGTATAAGTATCTCTTTAGAAGATTGAAAGCTGGAAGGGAAGAGAGCAAACGGGAGATCTTTTAAATACTACAATGGGCAGAAGTCAATCTTCAGCTGGTAGAGTTTGGCATTTCTCCTCCCATTTGGTGAAAGGAAGAGAAGTGATGAACTTATTAGAGCTAATTCTTGTAGAATTCGGCACAAGTAAGCTGCTTAAAGACATGACCCATATGGTTCAATTTTCCCCTGTCAAAACACAAGAACGGCACGACGATTCATTCCTTCCATGATAACTCCACGGAGATTTCTGATGCTCAGAAATGCAGCTTTCTGTAGAGCACAGCAGGACTTGAGCGCGTTCACGGAGAGGCAATGGATGGATGTCACACCGATCTACATTGAAGGCAGGAATCTCAATGCCTTAAGAAAGGAGGCCTCTCATAGGGAACATACGCGCACGCTCTTGCGCCAATGCAACATTCAAAGACAATTCAAAAGCCTGATTTCTCAGCTCCAATCAGCATCTGCTAAGTCCCCGGCTGATGATCTCTCCACTCAAAACCACTGTGTTTCAACCCAAGCCTTTGTCTTCCTGATATCCTTATCGTTGTATCCTTCCAACCGAGAGGCAGGAAACAGCAACTACAAGCAAAGTAATCCACTCGCACCATCTTCCGCTCCACCATCTTCGCAAAGAAAAAATCCACGCTTCGCCATGCCATTAAAGCGTCGAGCTCCACGCTACTCTCGATGTTCAAAACGGCCCCCTGAAGTCCAAATCATTTCGTGTGCCTGCTACGAGACCCTCATTCGAAAACTCCGAAACAACAAAACCTTCGAGCCTCGCCGCACAATCACATATCAATCCACCCGAAAGCTCCGAGAGTACAAACGCAGATACCGACCAATTCTCCACCAGAGACCTGCCTGTGCCATGCGCTGCGAACCCACCAGGGCAAAAAAATCAAAGCCTGCGATCATAATTCAGGCCCGCCCGAAAGCCGAAGGCTTCTCTCGAGACTCGGGGCACGAGCTCCAGAGTCTCAGAGAGAACGAACGACAGAAGGAGTGCAACCTCGACCTCCATGCTCTTCCGAAATCCTGTATCCGTCCGATCCTTTCGCCAGAAAACACCTGCACCGAACGATTACCGAGACCTCGTTCCGCCACGTGTCACAGTCTTCGGTACGCAGTAGGAGTACTCGTACACCGATATTATTGTTGACATGGTTTGATATTCAGTGTTCCCGCTCTAGAGCTCCGATGCGGATATCTTCATTATTTTATTTTCTATATTTTAGATCTTTTATGTGATATTTGGAAATTTATGGTTCCCCGTTTTCCATTCCCATGGACGTTAAGAAATGGGCAGGGCCTGTCCCTAAAATATAGCTCTGTTCTCTAGCTAGTCGTACGAGCTTCTTGGCCTGCCAGCCGACTGCATACAAGTGGAGGGACCGCAGTAGCCGTCGGGACAGCGCGGTTAACGGCCAACCACGCAGGCTGGAGTCCGAGAAGCGAGAAGCGACTCCGAGTCCGAGAAGCGATCGGATCCGACGGTTGAGTTTCGACGTCGAGCGGGGGGCAGCTCGGGCTCAACCACGGGGGTGGACGTGGTTAGTGGGACCCGCATGCCACTGTGCAAGACGTCTGGCATACACGTCACGGAGTGGTAGAGGTCTATGCTCCTGCAAAGTTCGCCCAGAGGTGGAGAACATTTTCGCTCGATTTCGCTAGTTTTCTCGTTTTTCGCTTTGTTTTCGCTTGATGTGTTTTCAATCTCCCGCCTCGGCTCCACAAATTTGTTACACGCTTTTGCTCCCAGGCTCGTCCCTCGTTCCCTCGCTCCCTCGCTCCGGCCATCGCCGAAATAAATCGAGCTCTCGTGTTCAAGAGTTTGAGTTTTGGCGCACAAAATCCCGCGAGCTCATCTCCCTTGACGCCTCGGAACAGTCCATGTCCATGCGGGCGCTGCGATTTCTTGCTACGCTGCGAGCTCGGGCTTTAGCGCTTCCATCTTCCGCAGGATTTCGAGCCCGATAGGAAAGAGGACGGGAGGGAGGTCGGGAGGTCGGGAGGCTCGGTTGATCGTAGCGGGAGGTGGATGGGTTGGCAGTGGGCGTAGCGTCATCTGCTGTTCGAGCAGGAGATGGGGCGAATGACGGATGTGCAAGATTTTGGCATGTGATCCGAGGACGAGGAGGAAGCGAAGGCCCTGCGATGCCTTCAGGCTCGACGGTGCCCGCAGTCTCGCGAGGAGGGAGCGCGCTATTTTTTGCGGTGAGCGCGTAATGTAGTTGAGCATTCGGAGGTACGGGGTCGACGGAGAAAGGCACGAGGGCGCTGCGACGGAGAGGCGATTGAGAGCGGATTGTGAGGTGACGGGGGGTAGAAAGCTTTAGGGTGGTTGGTGCATGCGGTGAAGTTGTTTGGAGCTGCGTTGTGCAGTATGTCAGCAGCTTCAGCTTCGACAGGAATTGCCGCCACCCCTGCAGCCGGAACCGCGGTGCCTTCAGTGGCACCAGCACCATCTTCTTCTCGGCCCGCTGCGGTTCGCAAGCGAGCTTCTGCAGCCAAACCCTCGTCTCAGCAAGAAGATGCGGATGTTCCCGGGGCGATTCTTCCCCCGTCGGGTCGATCGGTGACTCGCAGGAGAGATGCCGCCACCACTTCGGCAAACGGCGACATAGTGGGCAGTGAGATAGGCGCGCTGACGCAGCCCCGAGAGTTGAGCCAGACCCTACATGCGGACCGCCCTCAGGGCTCCAAGCAAAAGAGCATTGCCGTGCAGAGCCCAACAGGCCCCGCACCGAAGGCCACCACACCTGTCAAGAAGGTAGTGAAGAGTGCACAGAACAAAGAAGGCCATGGTGTTGTTCGAAGGAGGCCTAGTTCATTCTGGGATGTGACGGGCCACTTGTTCTCGAGGTTCTTTGTTATATTTGTACTCGGTGTAGGACTCGGTACGAGTTTCTACAATTGGAGAGTCCGGCCGCAAGCAGCGGAGTCTTCCGGAATATTGTCTACGGAGGTAGAAAAACTCGAAGAGTTTGTTGCCAAGACAACGAAATGGATGCAGGTGCAGCTGGAAGTCGTGGACATTAAAATAGGACAGGAGGTAGGTGAACTTAGGAAAGAGGTGCGCAAGGAGTTGGATACGCAACAGTTGCACGTAGAGTCGGAAGTGCGCAACTTGAGAGAGAACCTCGACAAAGTTAGCTCTGCATTGGATGTGTTGTTCAGTACTGGAAGTCCTTTGACTAAAAGGGAAGCGTTGGAGCTCATCAAGGATGTTGTAGATAGGAGGGCAGCCGAGGGTGAGGGCCAAGCTTTCAGTCTCGACGACGTAAGGGCCGCGGCCAGACAAGTTGTCATGCGCGAAATTGAGCGCCACTCGGCGGATGGTATTGGACGGGTGGACTATGCCCTGGCTAGTGGAGGTGGTCGCGTCTTGGAGCACTCCGAAGGCTACTTCCAGGGGAGAGGAGGGGACTGGCGGAACTTGTTGAGTATTCTGCCAGGTACCAATCGCAGGCACGGGCTGTCCAACAAGGTACTGGAGCCCAGTTTTGGGGAACCGGGACAGTGTCTACCTTTGAAAGGAGATGATGTGTGGGTTGACATATCGCTGAGAACTACGGTACAGCCAGACGCTATCACTGTCGAGCATGTTTCCAAGGTATGTCTCTCTTACCCCTCTGTGGAAAGTTTGTCATCTTTCTTTTTCTGCTGCAGGTCAGGGCAGACAGCCTCTTTGTATAGGCCGAACATGAAAGGTCGAATTAACATGTGAAATGCGGTTCATCTAAGTGAACTGCTTACCTTGAATCTTGGGCCTACAGCTCTTTCGAAATTCACAAAGAAGTAAATAGTCGGCTAAATTCGGTCAAGAGGGTAAATTTTACTTGGAAAGTTCGGCTATGCGACTTGATACTTACGACTTGCGTATTTAGAACATTTCTTTCAATTTTATTTTTTAAAGTAACTCTGCTTTCTGTGGACACGGCTGATAACAGCGTGACTCTAGTTCCCGATGCTTTCATATCTCTCGTATTTGATTTTCTGAAGTTGTACATCATGGATGCCACGTGATAGCCTTCTTCTTCTGCAAATTTGCTCCGCTTTTTAAGCAGGATGAACTCTAAGTCGTCAGATAGTTCTCGATTTTACTAACTACACAAGTGGTTCTCGTAATGTATTTTCATGCTGGAAAGTACTTCTCAGCCTCAGGGCCATTTCTGACAACGGTTTGTAGCTTAGGCCAAAGTCCCTCGTACTCTGCCTAGGAAAAAGAATGTGTGAAGCTGCCATTTTAAGAACGTTTTTTCAGTGGCTCCGGAGTAGATGTTCGCCTTTTTCATGCATCAACTTTGAGTCGGTGCATCTCCAATTGCTCTTGGGACAAGCTGTTTTGCCTCTTTGTATGTAGTGCTGTTAGAGGTTTTAGAAGTTCAGCTTAGGAGTTCAGTGTCAATTTTATCTTTGATTTATACCCTATTTTCGGGAGTTGTGTTAGGAATTGATGGAAACGTCATGTTCCCATCTTATCTTAGGGTATGACACTAGCCATGAACACATGGATGCCTTTTCTGCTCAGGTCTCCGCCAATGCGGGACTAAATATATTGTCAACTTATTTTTTTCCAGGACGTGGCATACGACGTATCCAGTGCACCGAAGGAGTTCCGCGTTTTTGGTTGGCTTGAATATCGTGGACAGGTGGACAAGACAGCCCAAACCAGGACACAGAAGGTTTTAGGGGAGTTCCTATACGATATCACGAAGCCGAGTGTACAGACCTTTGCCCTCTCTGAAGAGGATGTTGGAGGTGACCTTATCAACATGATCAGGGTACATGTGTTGTCTAATCATGGTAGCCCTACCCATACATGTCTCTATCGAATTCGTGTTCACGGGTCTGAACCACAATCGAATTTAGCCCCTAGTTCTGATTAGAAATTGACTCATGGGGTTCTGCTACATGTAGATTCATAGGAGGGGATTCACAATGAAGCCCTGGAGATAGTTATCTGTGTTCTGCAGTTATTTTGTGCTTCAGAACGTATCAACTTCCTGATGAAGCAATCATGACTGTCTCAATTTTGCACGGCAGTGTAGGAGATTTGATTCTCTTTATCACTTTTTAATTTTCTTGGAAAGATCACGTTCAAAGTTACTCTGAGGTCATCGCAATCTTGCAGTGTTATCATTGTGGTTTATTCTTCCTTACCTTCTTCCAAGCGTCTTCTGTGGTTACTCTTCGACACTACGCAGTATCCTCATGAACAGTGAGATCCTTCATCGCCTCCATTGTTCTTCTATCTTACGCATGCAAGACACTGTGAAGGACCAATACATCTTTCTTAACATGGTTTTCTTTCGATATGCCTACCATTACTAAGTATGAACAGATCAATTTATTCTCGGAACCTGGTGATCTGATCTACCTCTTGTGTGGTACAGTATTTTAAGAGCTTGCTTTGTATTGCTTATGGGTTGAGATTAGCTCTTAGGGAGGATTCAAACATCAAGAATCAGCTTTTGCAATTGGACTGCACAGTGAATACTTCAAATTCTAAACTCCATATGTCTGCGCACATTGTCTTGTGCTTAAAAAAGTGATCAGGTGAAAACTTATTCCTCTAAAACACCACCATCTGAGATTACTTTGAACTACAAGAGTTCGTTTGTTACAACTCTCTATACATGGCAGTACTCCTCCAACAACACCTTTTACTGATTGCAATGGAAAGCCTTCATACCATAGCGGAATACTTGTACAGAGGCCCTTTCGCACAAGCGACCTTTTCTCGCACATCACGATGGTTTAGACGGATTTACACACCCTCCAACATGCAACACCCGCATGTGAATGAGGAACGCGTCAAACAAGGGCTAAGCTGCCGGTCAAAAGACAATATGTCCATATAAAAATATCGAAAGAAAGGAAGAACATATCCCCAATGGAGCCGAACATGTATATCCATGTAAACCAAACCTACAGTTGTAGCTTGCTGCAAGGATGCAGCACCCTTGGCAAGGCTACAAGCAATCTAAATTCAAAGAGTGTAAAGTCAAGGAGTAAACGAGAAACTTGAAACGACGAAGCTTGCAATGCAAGTCCGAACCAAGCAAAGGATGCAATGCAGCGTTACATTCTACTCTACGGACATTATAGAAGACGTACAGTCACCGAAGAGTGAAAGTCAGGTATCTTGACAGCTGCCGGCCCGCCTTTCTCCTCATGGCGTGTATGTCGACCACCAAGAAAGCCGACCGCCACAACTAATGATGCCATTACAAGACACATCAGCGCAACTTTATACAAATACAAGTCTCACGTGCAACTACGAATCCAGGCTACACTTTTGTTGCACATTTTAGGCTTCCACCTCCATACTCGGTAATCGTGAATCACAAAAATGCCACCAGTCTCGCCAATCTTGTTCGTCTCCCATTTGTTGGCTGTTTTCCTCTTCTTGTTTCCATGGCTCCGTCCAAAGACCTTATCTTCCACATAAAAATGCATGAAAACTTCCACATTGCTTCAAAGTGCTAGAATTATGTTGATGACTTTGTGAAGTTACGTTGATTCACAGATGGGACACTCCTCAGACTTTGATGAATCACAGTTTTAATCACTCCAAGGTTTGACGAACATCGACACTCTGAGGCCGACAGAAACGCATGTTCATCCGCCTCGACTTGGTGGACAAATTAAAGAGGTACGAACACGCTTTACTTTGAACGGGTGATGAAAAACCTGAGTCCTCGATGGGATTTCTTCGCATGCATTGGATGATAAAGCTGAAGTGGAAATGCAAGAACACACTGCGCGCACAGCCTAGAGAGATCGCGGAATAATAGGGTAGCACAGTTGAGGAGAGGATCGACACTGCAATGTCGAACTCACTGCCCAGTGTCCGTGGCTAATTTTTTGTTCCCATTGTCCCTCAAACTTCCCATCGGAGTGTGTTCTTGTGCATTGAATGCCGACGATCTGTCGTGTTGGGAGATCAGGGTGAGTAAATTAGTGATCAGCATTGGCTGTCCTGTAAGCGCTTGCTGTCACACTCGAAGGAAATTTGATCAGGATCAGGCGATTGAAAATTCAAATGCGATTCGTCTCTGAGAGGCTTGCATTCGGAGACGAATCTTTGGTGACGACTATCGATCATCATTGCAGGTGTCGTGCAGTCCATTGATGTCCATCATTGGTCCTATTGATAAAAGTATTTTGGTCTGTAATTTCTGGGCAGATGATTTGCTGATGAGCGCTCGAGGTCTCGAACTTCATGTGGAAGGCCGAGCGCTGGTTCCCTACGCTCGGGCAGAATGGACGCAACGTTTATGGCGCAAGTGAGAGACCGCGTGGCACAGGCCACGCAAGCTGTAGCATCGTTTTATGATCCTTCATCTTCGGAAGATGTACCAGAGCTTCCAACTCTGCAGGAGCTGCTGGTGGAATTGGCTTCGGAGGCGACGCATCGGTGTGGACAATGTAAGGCCATGTTAAGTGAAGGCGCACGGTCTCGGATCTGTTTGGCATGCGGCGAGTTTCAACCTGCAGCGGCAAAAACACCTGATGAGAGTTTCGATTTCAACACATCGCTGGCTTTGCAGTTGTTCTTCGATTCTCTGAAGCTGGTGAGTGTTTCATAGTCTCATATGGACGACATTCTGTAGTATCAGTAAAATTGTCGGAGAAAAAGCGAGATTTCCCAGAAAGTATCCAGTTGAGCTAAATTTGAGCTTTTTTCGTGCTCGACCATCGGACATTCCTGCAAATTCCCCGCGAACAAGATACTGATTTCTAAATATTTGTGTTTGCTATGCTTGGATGACAGGATCTCTTAAAGTTCATCCGTCTTGTCATCTATCCATTTTCTCACAAGTCTGATTGGGTTGCCTCTTGCATTTGTTTGCTGTTTAGCAAGGTTACCTTTCAAGGTCTCACGAGTGGACCTAGTTAGATGAGCAACACTGTCTGCGGAGTCTTTGCCCTACCTCGTGAATTGTTTTGAAAAGTGTATGTTTCTGTTATCAAATCGTACTCTGATTGTATGAATCAGTGTCATGTTCATAGATATAGAATGACAAATTCTAGTCAGTGAAAGGTGTTTTGGAGGTTAGAAGGCAATGATACGCTGTAAGGCAGGAGACAATTTTGCATTATTTTTTTGATACAGAAAGAGCCAAAGACGTAATGCTGAGCACAGAGGATATGTTTGGCAGGATGGAAGCGGACTTGGAGTCAAGAAAGCTGCACAGCCAAAATATCATCAGGATTTTATGCAAGAGAGTTCTGCATATGGGCAAGCACAGAAGTCAGCGCCAGAGAATCTAACTGGAAGCGCGAAGTCAACGTATTTCGCAGAAGTAGATGAGGAGGATATTTGGGAATCTGCCGATGGTGAGGGTGGTGCAGTGAACTGGACTCAACACCTTGCGGAGGCCAGTGCTGGTGACTTTTTCTCCGGTTTACCAAATGATAACAAATCGGTAAGGATTTGTGTGGACAAACCTTGTTGTCAAATCATGGATTAATTGTGCTGGACGTTTATGCTTCTGTTATCACTAAAGAAGATCATGATGGGATATTGAGTTTCGTCCTCTGTGGTTGATTAAAGGTCTCTACTGGCTCCAATTGACATTTTGCCGTTCCTCAGATATCAGATTCTCATTCTTAGCAGAGTCCAAATAGTTCATTCACACCAAAACCCGATCGAGTGTGTAACTTTTTGTTCTTTAATAGATAGCTTACCGAGTTAGGGATAGACTGTGAGCTGATTGTTTGATATTTGTGTACAGTTCTATGGAGCAAATCAAACTTTTGTGGAGACTACAACGGATGATTTTGACGACTTCTTCCAAGCTGCTCCCCAACCTCAACCGCAGTCTCAAACCCAAAATCAACAACACAATCTTGACTTCTTCCAAAATGTAACACAAAGCAAAGGGGATGTCAACTTCCCTATAGTTGATGATAGTTTGTTTGCCCTGGGGATACAGAATCGTCCAGCAGCTCAGAATCCAACCTCAGCCTCATCCATTCAAGATTCATCGGTGAAAAAGTCTACCGAGTTCCCCACAAGAGTCAGGTAAACTATGTCACCTTTTATCTCGTCATGACAGTCTCGTCAGGCTCTTAGTTTAGATAAAGGACGTATGAATTTTGCCACTCCTGATCAATAGATGTCTTGGCTATTACTCTTACCGCTTTATATATATATAGCAGTTTTCTGACAAAAAATAAAAAGAGAGGTCTTCCAGATTTAAGTTTTCATCTTTCACTGGATGAGGATCTGTAATTTGAAAAAAATTTGACAAAGAGACCCCAGACGCTAATGATTTCAAGGTCTTGGTTTGTGCAGTGTTCTGGATCATCAAGGGAGTTCCAACGATTTTTTTGGACAGCTTGAGGGGTTGAACTTATCCCGCAGTCAGTCTTTGCAGGAACGTGATAATGAACCAGTAGCAGCTGTTAAATCTATTCTCAGTGAACTCCCGGATCTGTCCTTTATGCTTGCTGACCGTCTTGTTGTCCCCGGTGGTAAGAAGACAGTGAGTATGTGGTCGTTCAAGGAACTAGAATAATCCAAATCAGGTTGTTTATTAGAATGTCATGGGTTTGTATAAATCCTTGTTGCTTGGCAAGTGCATAGTTGGCTTGGAGACAAGGCCCTCGGGTGTTGTACAGAAGATTTTCAATAGTAGATTCATTTCTTTCTAAACGGAGGAACACAGAGACATTTGGACGCTTGAGGATTGCAGACGACGCAGTGTGGAGCTTTTCATGAACCCAAAAAAATTTCATTTCAGTCTGTAATGAGAGAAGCCATTTTGTTCAACTTGAGACGGATGAACTGCCAAGCTGCTATCAAAACCTCCTCGTTCCTGTATATATCAACTTCTACTCAAGGGTTTGTCATGAATTAGAATACAACCACGAAAATCTGCTTGACGTTAGCCCCAGGTTTCACCTAGAATCATAAGCTAACGTGAATCGCCTCACTAACATACTCTAGGCGCAGAAGTTGCTACTGTTTATGGTAGGAAATATCACAGCCAGAATATCAGTTTGATTTTACTGTCTTTCCATATCATAGATTAGACATGGACAAGGAAATTTTCAATAAGATGTTGATGCTATGAAGAATGTATAGGAGTTGAGGTTGGCAGAAGCTATCTCTAGCAGACCCCCGTTAGCAGCTGTTAGAGGGGTTTAAGGGGCATGTCGTGTTTTCTGATGTTAGTGTTCTGTTCAAAGCTATCACTCTCGTCAAAATAGCAAACACTCTGCACTGATTCCTTCTTCCTTGTCGTGAGCTCTCCCACCTCAAGTGGAAGACAATGTATTGAACTATGAAGATGCGAGTTTCTTCAATATGCTTATGTTTTCGTCATCATGTGTACAGTGCTGCTTTCACTCTACACGACATATATGGTCTCAAAGATCTTGAAGCGAGTTATATTTTGATCCTCCATCGTAGTTTCGCTGTATACCATATTATCATCGATGTATGCACGGACACAATGAAGTCTGGCTAGATCCTATCCAACCCCCTCTAAGCTCACCAGGTGCAATCCTCAACACTCCACAGTTGAGATATTGCACAAATTCAACATCTTCTTGCCAAACAAACCAATTTTCGACCTAGCCAAAGGGTAAGAATGGCATGAATATAACCGTTTTTCTCTATTAAGCAATCAATCAAAAGATAATTTTGTCCTTGTTCTAATGTTGAATCCATTATTGATGATATCTTGCTCCTTGTACCAATGAGATGAAAACTTTTGAGAAATCAACTTCATCAATTTTGTCTGCTTGTATTACAATCAGATTTTGTGTGTTTATTGTTTGATTTTAGTTTTCACACTTGCATCCAAATATTTATGAATGCCATGAGACATCATTATAAGAGAGTTATTCTCTCCACTTGTTCCCATCAATTATACTGAAGAAGGTCTAGACACTATTAAATATCTTCATATTATATTTATATATACACACATACACCCACGAAGCATAGAAGTTACTTTAGAACCTCAAAATCATTGACAATTTTCGTATTTCTCTTCCTTTTACTCTATGATTCATCTCAATTTCACATATCTTCTTTGCATCAAATGAAAAGTTATAAGATAAAATATATGCTCGCTGAATTATAATATCTTGATGTGAACAATTCCAGCAATATTATCTATGACCTACTGGTCCAAAAAGCTTAGAAGTGACATTCATGAATTCTTTACTAAAAATAATCAAATTAGCCAAAAAATTATTATTATATCCTTTTCAACATTCCCATAAGACTAGAACTAAGGATAACATCTTCATAGTCGTCATGTCCTTAACATCATTTTGGTAATCAAAGACCAAAACAATTCTCTTTACAATTAATATTTTGTCAGTATCTACCTCTTCTGTTCCAATACGATTTTCACGATGCACATAAACCAATTGGCTGTGATATCCCATAGATTTTTCTAAAATGCCGATATTGTTAAAACATTTTTTGCGATCTAACATACAAGAATCAATAGACTTGTATGCCAATCTGCAATGCAGTCGTCAAACTTGAGTTCATTTCTTCAAACACAGATATAACATGTTTCACATAAAACAACAAAACATATGCATCACATTACAGATGCACTATTTGAGAGGTTACAATATTTCTAGATGATTCGATTAAATAAAAGACATCAATCTCCCCCTCATGTTCAATATTCGAAATTTAACACTTGATTTGGAAAACAAAAATATAAACAAGAGTCTTTGGGTTTCAGATAATGTAAACTATCTTATATCATGTCCATAATCTTATATCACTTTCTCTAATTGCCAATATATCCAAAAAAAATCCTTATCTTCATCTTTCACATGAGAAGTATAAAGACATGAAGACATATTTATGGCCTAAAGCAGAATCAACAATGAGATTTTTGACCTTTTTGCCAAACTTTTTTTCTACCCTACTTTATGAACTACAACCTTAATCATTTTTTTTCCATCTCAAATCACATCAATTACAAATGATTTTGATATTACATTGATAAGGTTAATCCTGTGAGGGGAACTCCCGGCTGTATGTGACGGTGAACTGTTTCTAACTTGGTTTACTTAAGGCGACCGCTCTAGCTGTGTTGCATGAATCAAGTCTCGTTGGAAATCACGTATTTATCTACTTGTCTGGAAATGATTGTAACTGTAAATTTGGACAACATTCACATTATTAAATTCCCTCTTTCAAATTCATCCTCAAAAAATATACAGGAATACTTCATTCATTACAATCTGAATTATAAACTTATACAGATTCAAATCCACATTATCTAAAAAAAACTGTAGTTCCATGCACTAGTTTATGTATAGCATTGTCAAGATTTCAATAGCATCAAGAGTTCTCCAAAGGCTCTCTGAATCCAACTCTAATGCCAAAGCCATAAGTCCGCTAGTGACCGATGTAGCCCCAAGAATATGTCTTGTGCCAATCGCATCGGAGTGTTGAATGAGCTCCTCTACTTAAGTGATGCCTCATTGCAACAACCTCCGAGAAGATACATGGCCAGTAGAGTGTTGATTCTTGCCTTCCATGTTCAGGTAGGTTGCCAAAGGATTTCTGTTCAGTATGTTTTTATTTGTAGCGTATCAATGAAATGAAACGATTGAGACGTGCAGGGCTTTTCTTCTCGTTTTATCATATATATCAACCTCGTGTGAAGGGACGACTGAACAAACCCTGAAAAAGAGCACGAAACCCAAAGCCTTGACACTCGTAGAGCATATTGATGTGACCACCAATCTTAACGAGGCAGCGATGGATTCCAATTTTTTTGGTAGGAGATCCTCGCATTCTCCCTATCACGAGATTGATCATCATACAGAAGGAAGTTTCTCCAATGGAAAGAGTCCATGTTTCTGAACTGGATGTCGGTCTTCCCTAATACCCCGTTACTTAATTTATGTTCAATGCTTTCAGGACAGCCGAGCAACACATGACGTCGACAAAAAAGTGGTTTCGAGAAGGAGGCGGAGCATGGGCTCGAGCTGTATAATGACATCATGATGAGGCGGCTTCTGCACAGTTGAATGGAACAGTGGAGCTTCAGAGAGGAGTGTGGTGCAGGAAATGGACTGTTTGTTTCCACAAATTGTGTTGTTTAAGAGCGTTACTCACAGTTCATGGATGCAACACCTTTTACGTTTCATTGCATTGCAATGCAATGCAATGCCGCTCAATGTGACGATGTGTCGGAGGCGGCACCGTCCTCCTGTGATTTCAGACATCCAAGTCAATTTTTCCCATAGACTTCTACTTGTTCGGTCAGTTACATGACACAGCTCACTTCGGCCGCCGGTCTCCTCTCACTCGGACAGTCCATCCGAGTGAAGGGTATTGACTGTTTATTTTTTGACATATGTACCATTAAGCGAGAGACGAATCATTAAAACATAGAAATAAGTTGGGATGAAGTTTATCCGGTTTAATCTCGATGAGAAACGCTTTCATATCAAAGAGGACATATTATTGTTTTTTTCAATAATTTCATACTAATGTGTAATTTACAGAAACTTGATAACATTCCATGTATCACTTCGCATGTTCTTCAACCTTATCTTGTTGGTAGTATATATTATATGTAGAAATTCATTCTGAATCCAATTTGTGAATAAATATTTTTCAGAAGATGTTCATATGAGATCACTACTTCTGAGAACTTTTGGCCGTTATGGTTTGAGATCGAATTTTTGGTTTCTGTTTTGAGAGATTGAAAAGTCTATCACTTAACACTTCGAGGAATCTGACTTGGTTTCCAGATGTGCTGAGGATGATGAAAATTTCACACGGGCTCTCCAATTTGCCAATACTCATGTACGTCCCTACTCCACTTAGAGCGTCTAGTCAAAATGCGCACGATCTTAAAACAAAATACATTACAGTCGTACATGTTTGTTTCACGGAAGCAATTTGTCGTTCATGGTACAACTTCTTGCCTTTCGATTCCATCACGTCGTTGTGAAGTGGATCTACCCAGAAGAGTTAAGACAGTTGCATGTCAAACCAGCCATTTTGTAAGTGGGCCTCGGTGCCCTTTCCAGAACCATGTCGACAAGAGATATTTACCTTATGCTTGACCCCAGCCCAGTTGAGTAATTCTGCTGGTGTTCAGGGTTTCCTTGCTCCAATCTGGTCAAGGTGGAAGGTTTCTAGACTCTCGTGACCTGTGGAATATCCTCACTTGCCAAGTGGACTAATGTCCAAATGCGAATTTACGAGCTCACTATGGGACCTATCGTTAGCTGAGGGTTAAATCTGACACATGTATATGGAAGAATGCCCTGTTGAGGACAGAGAAACGGCCATCTCAATCTCCACGCTGTGAGAATTTCAGTATCAATCGAAAACGTTTTTTTCCAAATGGATATCGTATGATATACATTCATATGATTCCTGTTTTTTATATCTATATCTTGACTCAAGGGATTAATTGCACAAGGCAAAATGTTTCCCATGATTTTGGCAGAAATTTTCAAATGAATAGAAACTGGGAGATCATCGTGCACATTCGTCGGACTTGAAGCACTCGAACCAGATTTTTTTTCACTTATTCTTTGTTGAAAGACAACTTCTAGACTCATGTAGCCATGTGAACAAGCCCATATCTTACTATGCGATATGGCGCCTCCACAGCCTCTTCTGTCAAGCATCAGAATGTTCCAGACTATCTCTTACCAAAGGTGTCATGCAATGAATCACTTCGCATGTCATATCATGCGGTGATATGATATATATCCGATCTGTCTGTTGGAAGCATGCTTAAGGGTTAATCCAAGGTACTGTTATATCACTGTGGCACTTAGTAGAGTTCGATGACAGAAGATAAACAAACGAGCCGGTCGTCTTTGAGTTGACTCCATACGATTTGGTAAGCAACACTTCACGATTTCCTTGGTTTTAGTTTATGGGACGAAAGTAGTGAAAAGAGAAGATCGAGCAAGTACAGTGGTAGTGGACCTTTCACCCGAGAAAGGTTTGTCCAAGTTCCTCGTATCCGGAGACTTTGACAGATTTCACATGCAAATCATTCAAATATGTTCTCGTTCTATGTTGACGCAGTCTGCTCTCTTTCGTCTCGAATTTAGATAACCTTTGACCACTCCAGTTCTTCTAAAAAGCTGTCTCTTAGCACCGCTAGTTTATTCATTACTTTTGACAGATTTCACATGCAAATCATCCAAATATGCTCTCGTTCTATGTTGACTCAGTCTGCTCTCTTTCGTCTCGATTTTAGATAACCTTTGACCACTCCAGTTCTTATGAAAAGCTGTCTCTTAG